ACTATTTTTAAAGAAATTTCTTCTAATTTATTTTATTATGGAATTTTACTTTTTAAATTTCAATAATGAATATAAAAATAAAATCGTATTGCTTTTAGATACGATGAGATAAACATAATCATTTATTGCATAATCATGCATGGTTTGATCGCTCAAACAAAATGCACTCACCTCACATATTTCTTTTATGACACAATTTGTAAGAAATAAAATATTTTACATAAATACACACAGAAAAATTATTTTCACTTACTTTTAAATGCCGATCTTCAATAACTACCGGCTTCACAATTGGACACAATTATGCACTTTAGAAACACTCCATACACAGTTATAAAGAACACGTGCTAAAGTTAACCTTTTCAGGATGATTTTATTTTATAAACATATTTTTCGAAGCACTGTCAGAGACATCGAAATAATTTTCCGTCAAAAGAGAATTTCCGATTCGCGATTCGCGAAATATATTCCGGTGCGATGAAACGCTACCACCCGCACAGTACGAGGGCTACGAAGCTACTGACTGGCTACCCTACCGATTTCGTTCACGGCAGAGGGCGGTTCTGGATCATTTTCAGGAGCGACTTCTAGCATCGGAAAGTGCCTATATGTCACATAACACGCGACTATACCAGAAATTGAATGAAATTCGACATGTGGCGCTGTTTTAGGAATTGTAGTTATTTTTAATTGAAATTATTCAATAAGTAGTGGTGCATACGATCACTAGTTATTGAATAATTTAAGGCAAAGGTTTAAGAAGATATATACATTTTTGAGAATTCTGAAATTTTTGAAAAAAAAAGACTTTTTTAAAAAATTATATATATTTTTTTCATTTTGAGTTTTTTTTTGAAATTTGGAATTTATTTCGAAGCAATCGCGCTGCGTAGCTACTTTAGAGACACGGTTGACCTGCCTTTACGAAAAGCTAATCAACACGTCTCTTTATCTAATGTTTTTTTTAAATCATTCAAATCGGTTGATCCGTGTTTTCTAAATAGTCGACAAAAATTGTACCCGCACATACATACACACACACATACATCCATTTCTTCTAAGGTATGCCAAAATGTTCAGAAACGTTTGAAACGAAAGATATGCAAAAATTTTCATTTTCGATTTTTTTGTGATTACTATAATTTACCCTACGGAAAGTTAATTATTTAATACTGGTGGTGCATGGCACCGTGCCTTAAGTCAAATTGCTGGAACTCCTGTAGCAAAAATTAAAAAGTTTAAAGCAAAATAATTTTTGAGAATTCTGAAATTTTTTAAAAAATTTGACTTTTTGAAAAATTATATTTTTTTCATGTTCTAATTTTTTTTTAAATTTAGAACTTTTTTTAAAAGCATTCGGCGCTGCGTACCAGTTTTGGAGACAAATTTTAGAGCGCGGATGCGCTTTATCGCAATCTAGCGTATAAGCATTGGTACAGAACCCATAGAATTGCAAACAAAATTTGAACTTAATATTAGAATCTCTATAAAATATCTGATAATTTGATGTGCATATATTTAATGATAGCTTTTAACCGCGTTTTTTTTTTTACTTTTTTCACTCGATTTTCGAAACCGCTAGACCTGCCTTTCCAAAAATTTAATCAGTTCTTCAATTCGTCATTATAAGTAAACTGTTTTTTGAATTATTGAAATCGGACTTCTCGTTCTCACAAAAACTGAATTAATATTTTTGGCACTTTTTCACTCGTATCTTCGACGCGGTTGGACCTGTCTTTGCAAAAAACTAATCAACTCGTATCCTTATCTATAGAAATCGAACGTTTTTTGAATCATTCAAATCGGTTGATCCGTGTTTTCTTAATAGTCGACAAAAATTGTATACACACCCACACATACATCAATTTTTTCTAAGGTATGCCAAAATGTTCAAAAACCTTTAAAACGTAAAGATATATATAAATTTTCATGTTCGATTTTTTGCGATTACTATAACTTACCCTACGGGAAGTTAAAAATTAATTTTGACGAAACGTGAGACAATATTTAAATCAAGTTATGTTATAACAGCTTAACCAGTTGTAATTGACCAGCAATCCTACAAAATCCTGCCACTCTACAAGTGGCAGGATTTTGTATTGGCGTGTATATTATAGTATTAATAGTCATGTAAAAATTGCATTTTTTGAAAAAAAAAAAGAACTATATAGTATAAAGTCCACGAGTAAAAATATCCATTACCGATATTTCAAAAACCAGTAAAGTTAAGAATTTTTTGACAGTAATATTTGAAAGTAGAGGGAAAAAAATGTATAATCAGCCATCACCTCGATTCTGACGACGTTGCTATCCAGAGATAAACGGCAATAATGTTTGAAAATCCATAACAAAGTATTTTTTTCATTGTTATTTGTTTCGGTTGTGAGCACTGTTGTTTAGTTTACGAGTTCTTAATAAAATGTTTTTAGCATAATTAAATAGTTATAATAATTAAATTATTGCCATGGGCGTTGAATAAATAAATAAATAATAATAATAAATAATAATTGTTTTATAAGATGTATTGTTAATTTCAAAATAGATTCAAGGAATTTTTCAAAGGTGTAAAAAATAAAAAAGTGAATTAAGTTCAAAAGATCAATTTTACAAGAGATAAATTAAATAAATCCATACATATCACAACCCTGTTGGTGAATTTTGTTTTGTAAAAAATGCACACCTAAAATTTATATTTTACATTGATTGGATAATGTAGCTATAATTTTGTTATTTTTTTTTCAAAATTAAAATAAAATTTTGCACCTGTTTGCCCGCGGCCGTTTGTATTTACCACGCCTATGGGGTAAAAATGACCGTGTTACAAATTTTTGAAAAACAGCAAAAAAAAACACTATTTTACAATGATGAATTAGTTGGGAGTTTTACTGAATATAGTCAAACGGTTGTTTGTTTGATATGTGTTATTTGTTGTGATATAATTAGTTTGGTTTTCACAATATAATAGCTCAAACTCAAATTGGACCTTTGCACCACGTCGTACCCTATAAAAAAATATTTTCAAATTTTTACGTGGTTGGAATATTTGGAGTCTGTGACGGTATAAATAAGAAATGAAAACTGTTTGATTATCGGGACGGCGTTTGTTAATCCCGGACGGGGGCAGGGACTTCATGCTAAATGACTTAAATGTGATTTATAATAACAAATATACTATGTTTAAGGACACAATAAAAATCTTTTTTTTTCAAACCAAAATTAGTGACTTTAATAGGACTTTATAATTCAATTATATATTATATTTTTCTATCTACTTAGACGTTTTTTCGCTTTTAAGCCATGTATAAAATGTTGTCCAATTTTCTCAATGATAGTAAAAACTTTGTTGTAAAATTAAGCAGGCCATTACAGAGATCCAACAAAAAAAGTTAAAAGAAAGACATTTGGCGGTCAATAATGATCATATGCACATCAAATTATCGTGTATTTTACAGAAATTTCAGTAATAAGTACAAATTTTGTTTACATTTCTATGGGTTTCGTACCCAGATTTAAGATGTTTAACCGTAAAACAACGACGCGACCCTTCAGCGCTTCATTATTTCTTTCGTCTCTAAAATAGTAACGTAACGTGATTGTTTCGAAAAAAAAAAATTACGGTACGAAAAGTTCCATCAATTTGCTTTAAGGTCGTGCCTTATATGCTTTATAGTATTTGCTAAAAATTTGCACTTATCTGATATTACAAATAAACGGCTCGACCGATCGTCGCAAAACTAATCAACGCAAATTCTTATCGAGGTACATAGAATGGGTTTGAAAATTATTAAAAGTGATGAAGCCGTTTTTGAAAAAACATCGACGAGAGGTCAAATTTTGGCTAACATGCACAACGTCGTCACAAAAAGCTAATCAACACGAATCTTTGCCGAGTGCTTACGAATGGCTGTTACATTCGACGAAAGGCCATAAATCGGCGCACATACGCACATACTTCTTTCAAATATGGTCTCAAATAATGTAAAATGCCTTGAAACATAAAGAAAGCATAAAATTAGCAGACTTTCTGGCAAAAGCGTAAGCTTTTCTTCGAGGAGTTGATAATATACATCTTATGTAAATTTTCTAAAATTTTAGTAATTCAAATTTGGACTGAGATTTTTAATATTGCCTATGACCTAATTCGAACATGAATGCACTCGGTGAACCAATCAAATTTTAAATCGGTTTAGTAGTTTAGAAGTTCATTCCAGACATCTTTCTGACACGAACTTCATACAAGTTATGGGATATTGCTATTATTGTTCACTATGAATTGAAAATTCAATTAATTCAAATATGGATTGAAATTTTATAAGGAAATGTAGTACAATAATGTACTGCAATAAGGAAATGTTAGTTATTTAACACCAATTTTATAATCATAATATTACTAAGTATTAAAAACAAAAATATATTTAAGGTAATTTTATTACTTTTATAATGATTTATTTCTGTGTATATAAAAATATAATTTATCAATATCAAATTCTAGATTGAAAAAATATATTTAATTCTTAAACCATTTTGTTTTAATAAAATTTGGTGTTGAAAAATTTTTCATGGTTTTATATAAATTATTCTTTAATTTTGAGCTGCTATAAAAATTTAAAAAAAAATCAATTATTTAATCATAAGTTTTAAAAGAAATGATATCAAGTTAGAACTAATTAATTAATTTAGTACTATATCTACATTGGCAACTTTTTTCATTCACTAATTAGATGTAAAATTCAACACTAAATTTGAAATATGTAAACAAATAGAACATTTTTTAATGCTAGAATCACAGTTATTTTATATATAGCATATGCAATAACTTTCGGCTAATATCAAATATCACATTTAAAGTTATTAAATCAGCCAAATTCGTAATTCAGAATTAAATTGCTATTCTAATTTTAGGAGATTCATGCAAATAGATAATATCTACCTATTATCTATCTAAAGCTTATTACTTCTTATATAAATTTCACTATTAAAATAAATTAACTTTAGTCAGTACATTATATTAAATATGGTATAATAATTGTAGAAATTTTAAAGATAGCTATATCATAAAATTGACTATTGAAAATATCTTACACTTATTCCGATCTAAATTAATACTCTTCTAAATCTTAATCATACCAATCAGGTCAATAGTTCCCTCTTTTGTTCCATGTAATGCTTGCAACAAAAGTACAAAATTCCAGTAACCATTAATAAGAAAGGTGTTCCTAGTGCAACACATATTACTACTATCACAACTAGTGAAAATTTCTGATGAGGTGGTTTTCCATAACCCAATGTAAACGTCCTGAAAATAAAGTAAAGTGTTATAATTTAGAAACACCACCACATATATACTATATTTATACATTGAATAGCTTGTGAATGATGTATGTTCACAAACATGAAATATAATTTTATTATTTCAAAATACACAGGTAAATATTTATGTGCATACATACCATGTAGTATAATTTCGATTTTTATAAAACCCATCTCCTGGAGTGCCGAATGAAACATTCATTGCACTAATGAAGGAATCATTAAATGAATTATCATAGAATCTATTTGCAATACTATGATTAATATTCTTTACGGAATCTGTTAGATTGAAGGAGAAGGATTTATTTACATCCGTAGAATTTGCTATAAGTCTATCTTTTGAAGTGTATGATACAGGACGATATTGCAGATAAGCACCTCGGTTGGAAACTGTTTGTTTTGATGTTATTAATTCTACTATCTGTAATATACAAAAAATATTATTATTTCTATCTATATTTATAAAAATGTTATTCAACAACTATTATGATATTTTACTACTATTTTATACATTCAGCTTCAACTAACCTCAAACACTCCTGGAGCATATTCATCATCTAAACTTCTTTTTGAAGTAGCATCTAAAGAGTAATTAGATCCTCGAGGGCTAATCAATAGAACTTCAACAGCAAATCGAGAGCTATTAAATGCTTTGTCCATTTCTATATTTTCTAATTCAATTTCTATTTGGGAACTATTAGCTGTATGCAGTAAATGAGGCAAGATATCATCAAATCCATGTCTGGAAAATGCTTTAAACTAAAATAAATGGAAAAAGAAAATTAATTTATGGTATATTTTAGAACCTCATTTAATTGATAACTCTTTTACTTACAGATAATGAAAATAATCCATTTTTAATTATGTTTGAGACTTCATATCCATCACCAGTTATATAGGCTTGGGCAAGATACTCATCTTCAACAAAACTTTTTAGTTTCCATTTAAAATTTTGTGTATGAAATATATTTATATCAGCCTTTGACTGGTTATAATTTCCTTCATCATCTTTATCATTATATTCAATAATCTTTAAAATAAATAAGAGAAATTATGGACAAATAAAAATATTTTTCATAATATATCTAATATAATAATTAATTACTATAATGTATATTTACTATTTTCATATAACAACAATGTTAAATACATACATAAAAAAAAATTTGTGAACTTGAGTCAATGTACAATTAATCACTGAAAACACTGAAGCATATAATTCACCAAAATACAATCGACAAACTGACATAATATAACAATGTCTGTAGACCTTTAGATATATAACTCATTTTAACATTATATTTATAATATTAAAAGGAATCAACAACATTGATATTAATTGTTTGATTTTATATATTGTAAAATAAGGCATTGAAGTAATTCAAATAAAAATATTAAACACAAACAGTACATAATAAAGATTTTTTAACCTTAACTTTTATCTTAAAAATTAAACAATAGTTACATGTCTTTTTAACAGACTATACAATGTAATTTAAACATTTTTATATTATTTTTTGAAAAGGTATAAACTTCCTCTTTATAGCAATATGATCACAAAGTTTACACAAGATATAAAATATTTCACAAACATATTTAACTAATTATTAGAAGTTTACCTACCTTATTAAAAACTATAGAAAAATTATATAGCGTTCCCTCCGAAAACTTAATAGATTTAGCTTTTTCATTGCAATAATTTTCACAATCAACCTCGAGTACTGATTCTAGATTTGTGACAGCAAGTAATACGGATGGTTTTTCAGTATAATCCCAAACATAATGAATAATATCATCAGGTCCATAGGCAGAAACATGCACCATAGATATATTGTGACCGTTCTTGCACATAGTAGATGGACATCCAGGATTAATTGTCGAATTTAGCTAAAATGAGATATGAATGTATTCTCTAAAGTAATGGTATAAATTTCAAATATACATTAGTCATAAATTAAACATTAGTTCATCTGATTAGACCAACATCACTTCATTGAATTTAGTATATTATTTTGAATTATATTTTGCAGTTATATTTATTTTCAGAATTAATCAAATGTTTACAATTGTAATTTATATCATAATAATTATTACATTATAATTCAAATGAACAATACAATGAATTTCATAAATTAGTCTGATAACAAACAAACAATTTTTTAGATAACAAACTGATATCATATATATCAGTAATATATATCGAATTGCAATAATAAATAATTTTATCGTTAATATCTATGATTTTTCATTTATAGTTCTTAAACTGTCTTGTATAAAAATTACAAAACCAATAAATGTTTACCATAATTATAAACACATAGTTAACAAAATATAATAATATTTCAATGACTACCAAATATTAAATTTACCTGTCTTTCATAACCCCATGTTAGTTCAAAAATAACAACAAAACACAAAAACTTTATAGATATCATCGTAATGCGATGTTAAAATTATTACAATAACGAGAACGTATTAAATATAGGGCACATTCGTAATAGATAAACAATGGAAAAAATCAACTGAAGTCACACATAGATAATTTAACATTTAACAAATATACTGGACATTACTATTACTATCACATTCCTAAACAAAGACAATTGTCAGCTGTTAAGGCAGAATTTGGACTTAAACTGATTAAATTAATGGCTTCATAGAACACAATAAAATTATTTAAAACATCTTGTTAGAATTTGACGCATGTTCAATTACTATTTGAAAAGGAATGAATAATTTGTTTGATGCAGGTTTACATTTTGATAAAAGTATGGTTAGGCTTCAAATGCTTTTAGTGGGGTGGTTGGTATCATATATAATATATCATATTTTAATATTTGGTGGGTTGGTATTTTTTACCAACTAAAGTTGAATTTTATTATTCAACGAAATTAGGATTATTAGAAATTAGATTATTAGCAATTGAAAATATAAAATTTATGTGAAAGTCCATATAATTAGGTAACTAGTTTTTGTTCTTCTTACTATTTAATATTTGGTGGGTTGGTATTTTTTACCAACTTAAGTTGAATTTTATTATTCAACGAAATTAGGATTATTAGAAATTAGATTATTAGCAACTGAAGATATGAAATTTATCTGAAAGATCATATAATTAGGTAACTAGTTTTCGTTCTTCTTACTATTTAGTCGTCTATAAATAATAACATAAAAGATTTATTATTAACTACAATACAATTTTTGCACAGATCTAAAACACGTAAATTTTTTTCTAAGTTTCTAAGTGCATATTTTTTTATTTATTCATATATTATTTTCATATCACAGTCAGATAGGGGTATCTGGTATGAAGGATTATGAAACAATTTTCATATTTTATATATACATATCATTTGTCTATTGCATTATACAAAAATATAATATTTATTATAATTAATATATATATTCCATCTTCAATTTCTTTATTTTTCTTTTAAAATTAATTTAATTTTGTAAATGAGTTTTTATTAAATATTCGAAAGTAGATGAAAAACTAGTGGTGTAAAGCATCGTGCCTTGAAGCAAATTGCTTGAACTTACAGTACAAAATTAAAATTTAAAAAATCCGAATTATTTTCGATATTCGAAAAAAATTTTTTTTTGGAATTAAAATATTTTTTTTTTCAAAAACAATCGTTTCGTTAACACAAGCAGAAAGTTTTTTGAATTATTCAAATCGAATGCTTGTTTATTTCAAAAAATGCCATTTTTTGCACATTTAGCTCGGTATCTTCAAAACTGCTGGACCTGCCTTTGCCAAAAACTAATCATCACTTTTATCCGTCATTACAAATTGAATGTTTTTTGAATCATTCAAATCGGATCCTGCGTTTTCTTAAAAACCTAATTTTTATTTTCTGCACTCATTGCTCTGTAACTCCAAAACGGCTGGACTAACTTTTTCCAAAAACTAATCAGCACATCTTCATATCAATAGGAATCAAATGTTTTTTGAACGATTCAAATCGGTTGATCCGTGCACCCGAAAACGTGAACGAAAAATTGTATCCATACATACATACATACACACACACGCATGCACACATCCATTTTTTCTAAAATATGACGAAATGTTCAGAAACGTTCAAAACGTAAAGATATGCAAAAATTATCAATTTAGATTTTTGTACGATTACAATAACTTACCCCACGGGAAGTTAATAAATGCGTTGAATTATTTTAGTAACGTGTTTCAAAAATATATGTTACACGAATGTGAATAATTTGATATTTTGGCTATGAATCTAAGAAAGAATGCGCAAAATTGTAATACATTGTTATAAAAGTTTTTTAATTAATTATAGACATCAAAATTTCAGTTATATTTTATATTTAAAAAAAAAGATATAAATATTTTTACTTTGATGTTACCAGCTTTCATACTATTTTTTCTAATATGAATCATTGTATGGTGACGTCACTTTGGTGTTGTTATTTGTCATACGCCCTATTCGGTTTTGATTTTGTGTTTCATGCCTAAGAAAAATAAGAAATACTGAAATAAATCTGTTTATAAACACTACTGTTAAAGCATTAACAAACAGGTAAGTAAAACGCCACTCAATCAAAATGAAAAGTGGATAAATAAAGATGCCATACTCTCTGTTTATTATGTCAAAATGCCTCAAAATTTTTAATGGTTTTACCGGTGGTGTACTTCATTTAAGGTGCAGTAATTAATTCCGACACAATGTCTGACCATTTTGGATCAATTGCCCTAAAGTGGGATCCTAAAAATTTAGAAATTAGAACAATGTCTGTTGAAAAGACTTTGGAACCTTTGGTGTTGCAAGTTACAACATTAGTAAATACCAAAGGACCAAGCAAAAAGAAAAAGGGTAATTATAAACCAGCTTTGAATTCAATATGAAAGCATTATTATATTTTTCTAGTTATCAATGTTGCTTTAATTCAATAATAATTTAGGTAAATCTAAGCGTGCAAATGCTCTAGTTGGAACAGTCGAAAAAGCAACAGAAAACTTTATTACAAAAGGTGAAGAGATTGCTTATGAAAATCCAGATATCAAACAGGAAATGTTATCGGCTGTGCAAGAAGTTAGAATAACAGGTTTGTGAAAAATACAAATAAACTCTGGGTAATAAGGTTCTTAATTATTCGTGAGTGATAAAATAGTGTTCACAAAATATATTAGCAATGTTTAATCATTAAAAATATTTTAGTTTGAAATATAAGGATAATAAGGTACTCTAGAATACATAAACCTATATTGAATAATTAATATTAAGTTATATTTGACCAGTTTTAAAAATGACTGGTCATTTGCCTTGTGCAATTACACAAACTTGTTTCAATTCATAATTTTCATCAGTCTCATAGATAATGACATAGTAAAAAATGAAGAAAATAAATTGATAGAAACATATTATTATTGAAATTGAAAATTGAAAATTCGGGTAACTATTTGCAATATAGGTTCCTTTTTTCTTACAATTGTGCATTATTCAATTAAATCCCTTGTAATATGTGAGGGTGAAATAAGAATGAAATATCTATCAAAGCATCAATAAAGTCTTTTGCATTCTAACTTCAAATGATTTTGTTCCAGGTGAGGCAATGAGTAAGGCAGCAAGAGAATTTTCAGAAGATCCTTGCAGTTCTGTAAAACGAGGAAATATGGTACGAGCAGCTAGAAATTTATTATCTGCTGTCACACGTTTACTTATACTTGCTGATATGGTGGATGTTCACTTACTTTTGAAATCCTTGAAAGTGGTAAGATTTATTTTAATCATCAATTTTTACAGTTTTGTAAAATTTTGAGCTCTATTGCACAACAATTATATTTAATAACTAGATGACCCGACAGACGTTGTCCTGTACCCATGTCTACAATTTTTTAATATAATACACTAATAATAATTATTGTTTTTTAAATTACTCTTCACACCAAAATGCATATATATTTATAATATGAGCGACGTTAAATGTAGAACTACTTTAAATAAAATAATGAGTCTCAATTTCCACACTATATTGGAAATTGAAGTCTTTTAAACAGTATAACATAACCATAACCATAACATAACACTGATACTTCATGTTGGATTAAATTAATTTAATTTTTTATTATTTAAGATATCTAAAACTGTATCTCAAACTTCTTCTAATCGATATCGTGAGGGCCGAATTGTATGCATTCATCTTTACTGAATTTTAAAAATATTGTGGAAAGATAAGTAAAAGATGCAAAGAAATTATATATTGAAAAAAAAACTATATTGAAAATTTAATATCCGAATCTTGTGTTGGCGCCCCCTAAGGCGTGCGCTCGTATTTTTCGCATGCATCGCATTAATAGGACCGGCCCTGATTAATACTTATTTTATATTTTAAGTGAATTAATTTGTCATATTTGTTCATATGTGTATAATTCCATACATATACTGTATTTTATATTATTTTAATTTCTGGCACAACTCAGCTGCTTTTCAGCAATAATAATGTAGACATTTCATTTTTGTTATTCATAATCATACATTTAATATACATATTATAATATTGTCTAGGTTCATAAGTAAATTGAAATTATTGGCAGATGATAGTTTTCAATGCAAACAACGACATGTCGTTTTTTTGCAATTATTTTCATATATTTCTACAATATTGCACATACATCCCAGTACTATATAACCACATACATTCTAGAAAATTTCTTTAACAAACTTCAGAAAGATTTATCAAAATCCGAATAATTGTTTAGAAGGAGTAGACAGTGAGTGTTTGTAATTTAATGTGAACTTTATATAATAGCAATAAAGCTCAAATTGATTTTACGTTTAAGTTCGAAAACTTTTGTATGAGAAAAAGAAAAAAGCTGTTTTTAGGGTTTTCTCGGCAATTATTCAAGTTTTTCTCGCCGTAAGAACCACCCTTGGACTTCAACGAACATTTTAAAAAAAGAATTGGCCAAATTGGTCCAAGTGTTGTTGAGTTATGCGCTTACCAACACATTATGCAATCCATTTTTATATATAAGATATACCATTGAAAGAGTTTAATGTGGATTTTATTTTGGAGTATGTTAGTAACAATAACAAATCAATGCATATCACTGTAATCAAATACATTGATAAAAATGGTATTTTCAGGTTGAGGATGATCTTGACAAACTTAAAAATGCATCAAGTCAAGGAGAATTACAAGATAATATAAAACAATTTGGACGAAATGCTAATGAGCTTATGAATCAGGCAGCTAAAAGACAGCAGGAACTTAAGGATCCACAATTACGAGACGATTTAGCTGCAGCAAGGGCTGTGCTAAAAAAACATTCAACAATGCTGCTTACTGCTTCTAAGGTAAATAACGAAATATTCATACGAAAGTATTTTCTTTAATTCTTACTATTGCTTTAGGTGTATGTACGCCACCCAGAGTTAGCAGCAGCTAAAGCTAATAGAGATTATGTATTAAAACAAGTTTGCGAGGCTGTCAATACTATAAGTGATGTTGCACAAGGCAAATGCCCACAGCCAAATCAGCAACCGTTTGATGGACCGGGAGAATTGGCTGCAGCTATTGATGATTTTGATGTAAGTTGTTTTCATTTATAGTCTTTGTAATTATAACTACATGAACATATAATTCTACATTGAATGGAATATTTGGATTGTTATCTAATGTAAATAATGTTACAATTTCCTAATCTATATATTAAAATTAGTGTTAGTTCATAACCGTTAATTACAATTGTCTTAATCTAGTTAAAAACTAATACATAATTTATAATACCTTTTCTGAAAACTTTTATCATACTTTCATTATATTAGAAATACATGTTTTAATACGTACTTCAATAATTTTATTTAATAGGATCGAATGGTGATGGATCCATTGGCTTACCATGAAATTAGATCGCGCGCAGCACTAGAAGAAAGATTAGAATGTATTGTATCCAGAGCAGCTCTGATGGCCGATAGCTCATGTACACGTGATGAGAGACGTGAAAGAATTGTAGCAGAGTGTAATGCAGTTAGACAGGCTCTTCAGGATTTACTGTCAGAGTATATGTCTAATGTAAGTCTTGAATTTTAAATTAACAACATCTAGAAATCTATGAACAAATTGTATTTAGTACAATTTAGTATTGTATTAAGTAAGAATCTATCTTTAAATATATATCTATATCTATTATACCAATTAAAAATTGATACCCTATACTTTGATCATATCCTTCGATGAGTTTTAACAATGTTGCTGTTTATTTTGTCATCTTTATAATAGCATCTTTCTGTATTTATGCATTCAAATACTCGGATCTGTGAGGGATGTCTTGAGATTCATTACAATCATTATTATGCTTTTCAACGCAAAAATATGCATTTCATCTATTGTTTTTTTTTCATATTTCTATTTCTGTTTGCGTATGTGGACTACGTCAGTCGCAATTATTGAGGGGAGGAATACGGGTAAATACCCTGTAAAGAAGATTTTATTTTGTGTATTTCTGTACACTGAATATCCACAATCAACTGTGTATAATTAGCCACAAACACATGCGTTATGATATAAAATCACACTGCCTTATGATATAAAATCACAGAATGTTAAACTGATCATTAACAATTTCAAATATCGAAATTTGATGAATTAATCAAATGCAATATTAATTACTAATTTATAATTGAACAACGATTTTGTTAATGGTCAATTATTTACAGCACATAATTATTTACATATGATTGTTTTAATTAGCAGCCCTGAATGCGCTATGTAGTTTAACTTCTTTCTATAGAAGTGTGACTTATCTTACCAATACTATTACTTTGTACTTTATTTTATTGTAATCACATTTAATATTTTTTACATTTTTATTTAAAAATGCTGTAAAAAGTACATTCAACTATTTACCACTTTATATCTTATAGTTATCAACTTTTACTGTGTAACCTATATATTTAATTGATTCTCATCTGCATTGTGTATAATAACTAAGCTTTGTTTCCCAAAATTTTGAAATATTTGTGCCCATGTATTATATATATATAGTAAACCCTCGCTTTACGCGGCAAGTGCGTACCGGGCAGTATAGGAACCGTGCTATAAGAAACTCGTATTTAACATACAATTCAGGCTAATTCGTAGTGCGTTCTATGGAACCTTAATAGTGCAGTATGGGAACCGTGTTATGAGAGACTCAGAGTTCGTACAAATCGCACCATTTTTATCGCGTTGTATGGAGACCAAGAAATACAACTTGAAGTAGAAGAAATACGGACGAAATGACGTAAATGACGTGACGAAATTGACACCTTATTCAAAAATTGGCGCGACGCAGTAATCAGCTCAAACGTGTTCTTAGGCGGCTATTATACAATCAGGCATGTCTAAAAGATAAAAGTCGATAACAAAAATTTACAACACATACCCTTTTGCAAACGGAACTTATGGGCTGTTGACCAAATACCGTGTAATAAGAAGTCCGTTGTAGTCGGAGGGATCGGATTTTTAGCTCCGTGTAGTATGGAACGTGTACCACAGAGTGCCGTGTAAAGCAGCAGGGCCTACTGTTATTTTATATATATATATATATAATATATATATATATATATATAATATATAAATTAACTTTTACATCTGGATAGAAATTGTTTGTCTAATCAATTCAGTTCGCTTTACGAAATTAATAAATCGATTCTATTGTGTTTTAAGAAATCCTTATTCATTTTAATATAACTGATTTATGAATTTAATGAAAATTAAACTTGATCATTTTTATTTTATATATGTTGCATGATTGTATGTATATAATAATATCTTTCAAATCATAATTTTACGCTTTATTTGGAATTAATCACACAAATATGTTCAAAAGTATATTTATTTACACTATTAATAATATTTTTACTAATAGATGGGTAATAAAGAACAGAGCAATGGCCTAGAGCGTGCTATTGATCAGATGTGTCGTAAAACAAGAGATCTTCGTCGACAACTGCGTAAAGCTGTGGTAGACCACGTTTCAGATAGGTAAAATACATTTTTAATGTTAAAGTTTATTGATTTAATTTTTGGAAACAATATAAACTAGTTGGTATTGGTATTTTGCCTTAAGGCATGTCACATGAACTTCCCGATATGTTTAAATAATCGACTTAATCAATAAAAAATAAATTAATTTATTAGCGATTAAAAGTATTCCGAGTAGATTTATTACACATAATTGAAAACGAACGAACACGTTAACTCGGAGTATTTTTTAAATGCAAATTTTTAAAAATCAACAATTTTTATATTTGAACCAGTTTCCGTAGGACTTTAATGGTTTAGTATGTTCACTAAGACCAAGTACTCTACCGTTATACCAAGTAAATCGTGTAATTTTAATTTTAACAAACTCCAAATTACTATTCATTTTCTCAAACTTTGATGAATTTTTAAAATTGAACTAATTGTATGGCCCTAATATTTTAGTAAGTTCTAAAAGACCATGATATATATTGACAAAAAAAAGTTCCATAATAATCGGCTTATTTGTTTTTTTTAACAGTTAATTACAAGAAAACGGCTCGGTAGATTTTCATCTAAAACTAATTAGTATTATTCCCAACTAATATCTTTCAAATAGTCTTTGATTTTTTAAAATCGATTCGGTAGTATGAGCTCAAATGTGGATGAAAAGTTTAACACTTTTTTCCAAATTACAAAGAAACTGCTTGTCTGATCGTTGCGCAAAATTGATAAACGCTAGTCCTCATCGAGATACATCGAATGGCTTTTAAAGTTGTGAAATCGGTCCAGCCGTTTTTGAGAAAACGTCGATTTACGTGAACAAATCTGTTCACATACACATACACACACACACATACTTTTTCCAAATTTGGTCTCATTCGATTCAGAATGACTTGAAACGTCGAGAAAACATAAAATTAGCGAATGGGATTTTTTTATGAAAACAAACTTTTCCTTCGAGAAGTTAATAATATTTTAGTAGATTATAAATGAATAAAATATTTAATGTATTATATTTTCAGTTTTCTAGAGACAAATGTTCCCCTTCTTGTTTTGATCGAAGCTGCTCAAAATGGAAATGAAGCTGAAGTTGAAGAGTACGCCAAAATATTTACAGAACACGCAAAAAAATTAGTAGAGGTAATTACTTCAATTCTTATTAATACTATATAATTATATACAATCGATGTCAGATTGTAATATTTATTTATAGGTAGCAAACCTAGTTTGCAGTATGTCTGCAAATGAAGATGGTGTCAAAATGGTTCGATACGCCGCGGCACAAATTGAAACTCTTTGCCCACAGGTATTTAAATTGATTTTTTTTTATTTGTTTTTTATATTTATCTTTTTTCTCTTGTAATTGAGATTTTTTTTTAATCTTAAGGTCATCAACGCTGCCCGAATTTTGGCTGCAAGACCCAGGTCTAAAGTTGCTCAAGAAAATATGGATGTTTTCCGTCATGCTTGGGAAAATCAAGTTCGCATATTGACAGAAGCGGTGGATGATATTACAACAATTGATGATTTCTTGGCTGTTTCAGGTGATATGTTGTGATTTAAATAGAAAGAATTCATATTAAATTTATGCTTTCAATTTCAATATGATAAATGAAATTGTATTTCATCTACTCCTAAATTAATGTATTAAATTTTTTTCTCAGAAATCATATTTTGGAAGATGTAAACAAATGTGTATTAGCTCTACAAGAAGGAGATGCAGATACTTTGGATAGAACTGCTGGTGCAATTAGAGGCAGATCTGCTAGGGTCTGCAATGTAGTTGGAGCAGAAATGGACAATTACGAGCCCTGCATCTACACCAAAAGAGTGCTTGAAGCGGTTAAAGTTTTAAGAGATCAAGGTAAATCTTTTGTCTCTGAATATTTTACATAATCATCTTGATGTTTATGTAAGTTGTTTTCAATTATTTTCAATCATTGTGCAATTTTCTATCCGTAAATCTTACAAACTTTGTTTGCATCTGTTTTTGAAAACAGTTATTATATTAATGGTAACTTCAAATAAAATGCTGAAGAAACAAATTTGTTGAATGTACAATAGTTTAATCAATTAGCAAAATGAAAAATATACGGTCTTATTTTTTTGCTGATTTTTTATTTATGATATTCTAAAATTTTTTCAATGAATTCAATACTATTATTTATTTTATTGATGTAGCTAGATTATAGCAAAATATCAACTTGTATAACATTTTAAGATGCTTTAATCCTTATGTTCTTTTATTTTAAATATATATATATATGAATTATAAAAATTGTAAAATTTTGCAATTTTATAAAAAAGTAAAAATAAATGTAACAAATATGCACTGAAAAGCGAATTTTTTGTGGATGTGTTAAATTTCAAAAAAAAAACGTACTTTCAACACATGTGTAATGTTTTATATTACCTCATGAATTATTTATTATCTAATTTAATCTATATACAATTGACGCAAAAATAAAATAAATTTTTGATGGCATTATTCAATAAGCAAAATAAATGGATTAGCAAATTAAATATTATTGATAGCTTTTAATTCATTTTAAATATCAATTTCCTAAATAAATTTGTTTGTTTCTGGTATTAGTGATGTCTAAATTCGCTCAAAGGGTTGAAGTAGCGGTTGATGCTTTATCTTCAACACCTCCAAAAGAAGTGGATGAAAATGATTTTATTGATGCCTCTCGATTGGTATATGATGGTGTCCGAGAAATTCGCAGGGCAGTTTTGATGAACAGGGTAATTATAATATTATTTGTCAAATTCTGGTTATTACTAGCTGATGTGTGTATTGAGTTACACATTTTCTTGGGTATGGTTTTTGATCATGGAATATGCACAAAACATTAAACACTACCGTCTCTTTTAATTATCTTTGTCATCAAAATTTTCTAATGAATTCTAGAGAAATCTCTAATGATCACTGAAGTTGTAATAAGGAATTTCTGTGTTATTTTTATCTGTTATCCATACGTTGTTGAAAGTTGAATTTTGATGAATTTTGTATTTAGAATAAAATTCTCTTAAAATATATGCTTTACAGTAAATTTAAATATTGTATAAAAACGCAGCACAAGCTCATTATTTAGGGTACATGTTTTATAATTAAAATATTTGAAAACAAGGGTTTACATAGCATAAATTAATATCTATTTTAATTTTCAATAGTAATTATTATAACCCTAACATTATGAGTAACTGATAATGTGTTTATAGATATTAGTTTAATTGGCGTTAAAATTCAAAAAGTTTAAACAGTGATTTCTTTTCAAAACTTTTAGATTGTCATTGCTAATTGTTTCATATTTAAAATTCCCCTGTTATGTTCCGAAAGATATTTTTTTATTTTACGTACTTTTTTTGTATTAAATTTTTACAGGACGAGGAAGATTTAGATCCTGAAGATGTAGAACTTGATGAGCATTACACATTAGAGACACGCAGTAAATGTAAGGATTGTGATGTTCATTATTTTAGATATTTTACAATATGCGTGCGAATTATTTACAACAATCCACAAGGTTTTCAAAACAAGGGTCATGTTTAATTTTTCTCTCTTTTATTTTAATTTAAATTCCAGGATGCGCAACATGAGAAATCGAGGCCAGATATTTTTTTTATATAATTTACTATATTTTTTATTTTATTGTTTTTGCAGAGTTCTGAAGATTTAGACACAGATACAGAATTTGAACCGGTTGAAGACATGACTATAGAAACACGTAGCAGATGTAAGATTGAGAAAGCTCGTTATCAATTTTTGATAACTTTTTCTACATGCACATTTAATAACTATCGCACTGGTTTTCGACTTATTTATATAGAACGCTTATCAATAATTTTCCTAACTACTGACTGGTTTTTGGAATTTATTTTGATATAAATACTAACATCTTCTCAAAACTTTGAAATCTGTAATCTATTTCTAAGTATTTATTAAAACTTTGTCTGGTATGTTGTAAATAATTTTGCATGTAATTTGCATTATTACTATACTTGTTTCAATACATTTTAGTTTATGCATTTACTTTCTTTATCAACAATATTTTGACCACTTTAACATCTTAATAATTTACACTAAATTAATTATTAATAACTTTTTCTTTTTAACTAAGTATTTAATGTTTGGTGTTCAAACTATAATATATTAATTTAACAGCTAGTGCACATACTGGAGAACATGGAGTTGATGAATATCCTGATATAAGTGGCATTACAACAGCCAGGGTATGTGTTCTACTTATTATTTCAAAGACAATTTATAAAATTTATTTTGTTTTTTTTTTCAAAAACAGATTCATAAAATTCTGATATAAAATTTTATATGCTTTAGTGCAGAATTGTGTTGTTTGTAATAAGTATCTATCATTTTATATGTGTTTTACTGTGAAATTTTTCAAATAATAAATTTATTCCATATTTACATGTATTAATATCAATTAATTACTATCTCATAACATTTTAGGAAGCTATGCGAAAGATGACGGAGGAAGATAAGCAAAAGATTCTGCAGCAAGTGGAATTATTCAGAAGAGAAAAACTGACATTCGATTCTGAGGTTGCCAAATGGGATGATGCTGGTAACGACATAATTGTCTTGGCTAAACACATGTGTATGATCATGATGGAAATGACAGATTTCACCCGGTAATAATATTTTCATTATATAAATAACTATTACATTACATCATACATTCATAATATATGTGTGAATATATATAAAATGGATATATATATAAAATTTTTGAATTTTGAAATTTTTAAATATTTTAACATTTAATTTCAATAAGTTATCAAAATTCACATGAAAGCCATTTTTGTTATTTTGATCTTAGTTAGTGAGAAACTTTCGTATTGTTTCAAAGTTTATAGTTTATATAAAAATATGAACTGTTTAAAAAATGATGTCTTCGAATTGTAAATACGAAATGTTCATTTATTCTAGTGGGCGCGGTCCTTTAAAGACTACTATGGATGTAATCAATGCTGCCAAGAAAATTTCTGAAGCTGGCAGCAAATTGGATAAATTGACTCGAGATATTGCTGCTCAATGCCCTGAGAGTAGCACAAAAAAAGATTTACTTGCTTATTTGGAAAGAATTGCCTTATATTGTCATCAAATGAATATTACTTCTAAAGTAAAAGCTGATGTTCAAAATATCAGCGGAGAACTAATTGTTTCTGGGGTGAGTTTAACTATTTTATTACATTTTTAACTTCCCAAAGGAGAAGTTTATGCTTTCATCAAAAAATCCGATTCGCTAAGTTTATGTTTTCTCGACGTTTCAAGCCATTCTGAGACCAAATTTGTAAAAAGTATATGTGTGTGTGTGTGTGTGTGTGAATGTATGATTTTTGCCGTAAATCAACATTTTCTCAAAAATTAAAAGCCATTCGATGTATTGCGATGAGGAGAGGCGTTTATCGGGAAGTTCAAGTAACTTGCCTTAAGGCAAAATACCAATACCAACTAGTTAATAATATTAATAGCAAAAATTTAATTCCATAAATTTGTGTTATGACACGTTAAACTTTTGCAGATTAATTTGTAGTCATGTAAACCTTTTATTGAAATTTATCTGAAAAAAATCTTGTTTTTTAAACTCTTGCCAAACTCTTAATTTGTTTAATTAGAAAATCAATTAAGATATTAATATCAATGTAAGTGTCTAAGTAAAGATCTACAACATTAAATTATTTGACAATGACTAAGACTATGTATTTAAGTAAACAAGTATTCTAAGACTGCTTCCAGCGAATAATACTTAGATAGTGAACAACTCTTTTGAAAAGAAACTATCTATTTGTTGATTTTGTCCGTTAACTCATCCTGATCAATTGTTTTATATCTATAACAGTTGGACAGTGCAACTTCTTTAATTCAAGCTGCAAAGAATTTAATGAATGCTGTAGTTTTGACTGTAAAGGCTTCATATGTTGCTTCAACTAAGTATACCAGAATTCAAGGGACAGTGCCTGTAAGTATTATTTTACACATCTTGTATGCTGTTAGTATTCTATATATATCTACTATCCGACTCAACATATGTCTACATGCTCTAACATTTTTTTCAGTTTCTTCAATTTCGAATTCTCAATTTTTCGAATAACTATCAAAATACAAATACTATAAGAAAGCCTTATTTTTATTAATATAAGATACATATTAATTGATAATATGTATCTTGAGATTATTATTTCTTCAATTTTCAATTTAAAATTGAAATAACATTCCTTTATTGGCCGTAAAAAAAAATTATTTTATTTTTACAGTTTAGAATAAATGGGTTGACATCAAATTGTAACTGAATTTTGACTATTTTCTAGGCCCCTATTGTTGTGTGGCGAATGAAGGCTCCAGAAAAGAAGCCACTCGTTCGTCCTGAGAAACCAGAGGAAGTCCGTGCTAAGGTACGAAAAGGTAGCCAAAAAAAGGTACAAAACCCAATTCATGCTTTGTCAGAGTTTCAGAGCCCAACAGATTCAATTTGAATAGATTCACAGACGAAGGTTGTGGTAAATATATAATATATATTTTGAAAACAGTTATTACAATTTGAAGTATAATATTTGAAATTTTCAATTTAAAATTGAAATAACATTCCTTTATTGGCCGTAAAAAAAAATTATTTTATTTTTACAGTTTAGAATAAATGGGTTGACATCAAATTGTAACTGAATTTTGACTATTTTCTAGGCCCCTATTGTTGTGTGGCGAATGAAGGCTCCAGAAAAGAAGCCACTCGTTCGTCCTGAGAAACCAGAGGAAGTCCGTGCTAAGGTACGAAAAGGTAGCCAAAAAAAGGTACAAAACCCAATTCATGCTTTGTCAGAGTTTCAGAGCCCAACAGATTCAATTTGAATAGATTCACAGACGAAGGTTGTGGTAAATATATAATATATATTTTGAAAACAGTATTACAATTTGAAGTCTAATATTTGAAGATTTCCCTATGATGTAGATTAAGTAGATATGGTATAAAATTGTATTATTGTATAGCAATTTCAATTAATTATTAATTTGAATATTTTTTAATGTAATAAATAGTTATGTTACTTATAACTGGCATTTAAATATTAACTAGTATTAAAGCGTTGCCGCTAAAATATAAAATATTGTTTGATTCACAAGATTCATTGTCGGTACAAACTGGGAATGTTAAATTAAAGCATTTTGATTTCATTTTAATTAATTTATCCTTTAGATGATTTTAGTAAAATATAAATCCAATAAGTTATTAACTATTTATTGCAATTACATGATGAAAAACTATTGATTTTATTTTAATTAATTCACCCCAAAGCTGAAACACATGATTGCTTAAATGAAATTTATATTAATGCAAGTTCATAATCAAAGATTAGTTTATTTTATACCTAGCAAGTTTGAAATTTAAAAATATAAATAACTAATAATATAATGATATTCAGATATTATCTTTTTTATTTATTTGACTTTTAATAAAGTAAATCATGTAATATAAACATGCAAAAAGATGACATTATCGAAATTCGTATATCATAGTTTTTTGATTTATATATATTTATATATATATACATATATATATATATATATATATATATATATATATCTTTCCGTTAGAAACAGATTATATTTCTTAATAATAAAACTTTATAAAATTTGTACAATTTTGAATCTATTACATAAGAAATATTTTTACATATTAAGTTATTTGAATATAAAATAATAATTTACATTTATTTCAATATTCATTTATATAATTTTATAAATTTTATTATAATTCTTATATATATATATATATATAATTATATATATATTTAATTTGAGTTTAATATTCGGGCGTAACATCAATAAAAATACAAATTAATATTTTTATTGATGTTACGCCCAAATATTAAACTCAAATTAAACATATATATCAACATCAAATTCAAGAATATTCAAAAAATATATATATATATATATATATATATATTATATATATATATTGTAGAGTTTCGAACAAGAATCCAAAAAGTGATAAAAAACAAAAAAAGTTTTTTTAAATAAAGATTTAAGCAAACAATATGTTTATATGTTTATATATATATATATATATATATATATATATATATATTAAATATATATATGTTGATTAGCCCTAATAGTTTTCAAACATGTGTTAACCATATTTAGTGCTAAATTATGTAAAAACATTTCCTACCTAAATTATCTAATCATGTGCCAATTGCTATTTTGTTGCTAATGATAACTTTTGGCCTATATAAACATAAATTTTATAGCATAAATAATAATGCAAATTTACTATCTGCAGAACTTTATAAATATTTCGATTGAATGTTAATGTAAAATTAAGGATATATTTTGATCAGCATCAATTAAGGGCTATGTTATTTCATATGCATGTGTGTGTATCCTTCTTTAATAAATACTAGTAAAATATTATTGGATTTTTAAACACCTATTGCAGAAATACTTAGTGATTTTACAATTATATATATTGAGTTTGAATTTTTTGCTTTTTGATCATTTACCAAATAATTATAGAAAAGACCATGTTTCTTGAATTAAAGCATGAAGTTATTGAAAAATATGAGGATGGAGAGAATGTACGAGCATAACACATTATAGTTATATATAATATATATTGTGTTCAAACAGATCGAACTGATAAAGTGTGTAACAGCAGCTAAAGGCCTTTAAATAAATCATAAGCAGTTTTCTAAGCTCTGAAAGATTCTGTATAAAATTCACCCTGATGCAGTTGGAGCATTGTAGTTGTTCAACAAAATTTATTTATTTATTTAATTTATGTGATTTGACAAAATAATAGCATTAAATACATCATAACGCAAGATTCCATCGACAGTTTAAGGAATAAAAAATTTATTATCCCGCCAGTCGTAATGATAAAAATTTATTAATAGAATTAAAGGAAATTTTAATGGTCATTTGTGGTTTGACTATTTCATGTACTACATAGGCACATACAGTCATTTGGAAAGAACAATCTTTCGACATAATAATAAAATTTGAAATGACTTGAGCCTCGATCGGTGTTCTGATCCATTTACAACGCATAAAGTATTAAATTTGATTGGAATCGGAAATATTCTACTTAGAATTTTTGGAAGGAACATTGGTTTGAAATTGTTACATATTGTCAACACTATTGTTAGAATGTAATAAAGTATGATGTTTGGTATTACAAGACAGACATGTTTTCTTAGAATGGCACGGACTATTACGTTTATGCACATATAATTAGAACAGAGATTTAATCTCTTAATTGCCGACCATCTTTCAATGATGTTTAATTGTAGAAATTGTGAGCAGTTGAAAATGTTATGATTTTTGTTGCATAAATAATATTTAAAGGATTTGACAGTGCTGGTTACAAAAGAATGAGAAGTGTTGGGTTTCGTAACTCTTTCGCGCAAGTCATAAACATAACTTTGACCTTTCTGCACTTTATTCATAAATTGTAATAACTTTATATGAAGGATATTCGCCTTGAAAATAATTCTCAAATTTTTCCTGTAATCTAATTTTGATAGGGCGATCGATGTTAGTAAAAAATCATATAGGTCTGGAATATTTAATTGATTTAATACTTGTACAGCAGTGTCAAATTTTTCAATGAAGTTAAGCAACTGCGAAGAATTTACAGTTTTAAAGGACATTAACTGTTTAAAATAGTTAGCGCTCAGATAATGTTTATTTTCGTATTTGTTTGTTAGTGCATCCCATAAAATTGAATAATTATTGAAAGTAGGTATAGGTAGTATTGTATTGAAAATTTTCAGTACAGGGCCTTCTAATGCGCCCATTAAATAATGAAATTTAGATATCGAATCGATCTCGGGATTCTCGTAAATAAGTGTTTTAAATGTTTCGTAAAACAGCGGCCATTTCTTGAAATCACCCGCAAAGGGTATTTCAATTGTTGGATATCCAATCGATCTCGGGATTTTGAAATAAATTTAGATGGTGAATCTTGACTTTTAGTAATAGAGGAAGTAGTATTTACAACAAAAATAGTTTTTTCAATGTATTTTATCTCCGCGTATAATTGTTCCACGGATAGAGAGGTTACGATTATGTAAGAAACTTATAAATATAATGAATTCACCTTGATGTCCGGTAAGTGTAATTGTATATACTTATAAATTAGTACTTTGTTCCTGAATCGGCAACTTGTAGAAACTCTCAACCATAATTGAGATCCAGCTCAGAAGGCAAAAATGTGGTGTGGCTTTGATTAATTAAATAATCACATCCCACAGAATCGTTGGTTATTCTAGAATATGGACTGTATTTGAAAACTAAAAAAACGTTCTTATTCTCTTATAATAACAAACTAAAAAATGAGCTCACTTTAAATATTAAAAGGAAACTCAACAAAAACTTCTAAACTCGACTGACTCGCAAGAAAACTCGAAACTAAACCAAAGAAGGAAAGCAAGAGTTGTAAACGTACTGATAACGCACTGGAAGCGAATTGAACACGGAACTAGACAGAACCCGAACTGAAAACGCACTGGAAGCGAACTGATAACTGAATCAGAAGTCAGAAGTTGTGGAAGGAAAGAGACAGGTAATCTTGATTAGAATAGAATAATTCAGTTGACATATTGCAAACTCGAGATGGGGACTATATTATTATCGACACAAGTAAATATTCATTGTGGCGTCACCAACTGACATTCAATAAATTTAATTATTCACCTATATATTTCATTTATTTCTAAAGTTAGAAAAGCGAACTGATAACTGATCATCAGAAGTCAGAAGTTGGAAGGAAAGAGACAGGTAATCTTGATTAGAATAGAATAATTCAGTTGACATATTGCAAACTCGAGATGGGGACTATATTATTATCGACACAAGTAAATATTCATTGTGGCGTCACCAACTGACATTCAATAAATTTAATTATTCACCTATATATTTCATTTATTTCTAAAGTTAGAAAAATTACAGATTTTATATTTTTTTATATACAACGGGGATCGAACGCACGGACCTTGAATTACCTAAACCATGTCCTTACGACCTTGGCCATTCGCTCACTTAGCATTCTACATTTTTAGGAAACTTATACGAGGGTCATGTAAAAAATAAGGTTCCCACATTTTTTTCAGGATTGAGGCATTTTTTATTGCAATAAATGATAAACCATCGGAAAGCTTGTATTTCAAACTATTTCTGTACATAGTCGCCAGATCTTTCAACGCATTCTGAGGAGTTTTCCACTTCTGAAAACCCGCTTCGAAAAACTCCGTCGCCACGCCTTTGCTCGGTCTTCTCCGGCGATTTTGGATGGCTTTTTTGAGTTTTGTTAGTGTCTCGCAGTACTTGTCCGAATTTATAGTGGACCCTTTAAGCATTAACTCGGTGAGCAAGACACATTTTCGGTCCCAAAACTCGATGGCCTCCCGCTCTTTTGCTTGTCGTGAACGTCTGTGCGTCCTTCGGAGAACTCCCTGCACCGTTTGAGGACGTGCTGGACGCTGATGCAAGTT